TAGATTTCAACTTCACAACGAAGGATAGCCAACTCAAAGCCAATTTGGTGAAACAATTCTTGGATTTCAACTTCACAACGAAGGATATCCAACTCAAAGTCAATTTGGTGAAACTTACTCAAGATTAGATTTCAACTTCACGACGAAGGATATCCAACTCAAAACCAATTTGGTGAAATAACCCTTTAATTTCAACTTCACAACGAATGATATCCAATTCAAAGCTCAACTTCACAACGAATGAGTCATCCACGATTTCAACTTCACGACGAAGGATATCGTGCCCACAAGCAGCGTCCATCTCTAGATTATATTTCAACTTCATAACGAAGGATATCCAATTCAAAGCTCAACTTCACAATGAATGAGCCATCCACGATTTCAACTTCACGACGAAATATATTGTGCCCATAAGTAGTATCTATATCTAGATTGGATTTCAACTTCACAACGAAGGATATCCAATTCAAAGCTCAAGAAGCCATCCATGATTTCAACTTCACAACGAAGGATATCGTGTCCAACGGATCGACTTAAAGTCATCTGTAAAAACATGGATTCATTCCCCAGCCCAGTGCAACACAACTCAAAGACGAGAAGAGTTATCTGTCATCAAACCTACGATTTCAACTTCACAATGAAGGATATTGTACCCAAAAGATTGACCCAACTTCACGAAGAATGAGTCATATGTGCCACAACAATGAAAAACCTGTTTCATTCAGGTCAAATTTCAACTCCATAACAAAGTATGTTGGGATAGAAGACAATCTAGGAGCTACTTCCTAATACTTTGAGGTAGTTTCAGCGTCACAACGAGGGTTATCGCCCTCAAAAGGTCTACGATTTCAACTTCACGACGAAGGATATCGTGCTCAGGATTTTACAGTTCAACTCAACTTCACAACAAAATAGTCACCCATGATTTCAACTTCATGAAGAAGGATATCGTGCCCAATGGATCGACTTAGTGTCACCCTTAGACGACCAGACCTCTATATCACCTATGAGCAGTGTCATTCCCCAAATCAAACACTATCAAGTTTCCAAAACCAAAAAAAAATCAGACAAAACTAGTTGTCTTTTTCGTCTTTGCCCTATTCTTGTTAACACAAAGATGTGCAAAGAGAGGCAACTGTAGACACCTGTTTTTGTCCGGGTCAAAAAAAATATTATTATTATTATTATTATTGTTAATAAAATTAAATTACATTGCAGGCCTACTCCAGCCCAGTTATAAGCCCAGTAGTACACACCTAAGACCCGAATCCGAATCTGACCCAAACTCAGTACTCAACCCATTCAAACACCAACCCCTACGTATCTCAACCATTTTCACTACCCCACCACTAACAAACCACCTACTCCACTAAACCCACTACCAATCACAAAAAACAAAGCCACATTCAATTATAAATGAGGCAGGTATTCAGTAAAAAAACAATAATAAAGCAAAAAAAGAATTAAAGAGAGAGAGAGAGAGGTGTTATTGCCTCTTTGAATAGAGTCTGGGTCCCATCCTCCTGCATTTCTTTGATCAGAGTCTCAAATCTACGTCCAGCGATGACTCTGTCGTGAAACCGCCGAAACAAGCTACTCCGCCCTCTTCGTCGGACCATTCTCTCTCGAGTTCGAACTTAGATTCGCATATTCAGTTCGATACTGATTTGAAAGAGGAAGACGTTTGCAGGATCTGCAGGAACCCGGGCGATGTAGAGAATCCGCTTCGATACCCTTGCGCGTGTAGCGCGGCAGTATCAAATTTGTTCACCAGGATTGCCTTCTTCAATGGTTGATTCACAGTAATGCTCGCCAATGCGAGGTTTGCAAGCATGCATTTTTTTCTCTCCTGTGTACGCTGATAATGCTCCAACAAGGCTTCTTTTTCGGGAGTTTGTGGTTGGGATGGCAATGAAAGCTTGTCATGTTCTGCAGTTCGTTTTGCGCCTTAGTTTTGTACTTTCAGTTTGGCTACTCATTATACATTTCATTACCTTTTGGATATGGCAGTTGGCTTTTGTCCGGAGTTACAGTGAAGCTCAGAGTTTATTCGTAAGCCATATTTCAACCACAATCATTTTTATTGATTGCTTGCATGGGCTCCTACTTTCTGCTAGCATTGTGTTTATTTTTCTTGGAGCGACTTCTTTGAAGGATTATTTCTGGCATTTACGAGAGCTTGGATGAAGAATATTGTGCCCTTGGAGAAAAGCGAGGACTGCAGCTGGGTACCCATTTTTATCAGAAACATGCAAATGGATTACATATATAAATATGAGCTCAACAAATTTGTGAACAGTGGTGCACTTTCTGAGCTTGTGGTTGCCTTTTTCACGTGAGGGACCTACTAAGGAATATGTGCAACATAAAATGATGGAGATATGGTCACATTTCTTAAGTGTACCATAGGTTACACATTTTTTTAACATTTATTCTCTTAATTTATTTTTTTCTCTTTAATTTATTTAGTATTTATTTTTTTAATCTAATATTTTTTACTTTCTTTTTTAGGAAAATTTTTAACTAATCAAATATAAATGATTTGAATCGAGTATTTTAATTTTAATTTAAATTTTCGCAATTGAGACAACCGACAAATTAAATGATACCGAAAGGGCAGTTCAAGAGTGCTAATCCTTCCTTTACTGTAACCGACTCCCGAATCTGATACATTTTTGGTAAAACGCAGATCATGATAGATGGTGTCCGATCAATCTAAATATTTTTTAAATGATCGATAGCAACTCTAACTCATTTATTTAAGTCGAAACCCAATTTCGGGCCCGTCCGAAAGACCGTTCCGGCAAGAGAAAACATTGTTGGTTTAGAAACTATGAGATTGTTGAGATTGACCCATTTGAATTTCTTTTTCCCCTTTTCAACAAAAAGAAATGCTAATGGAGAAAAATGTCAACTTTAAGGGATATAATATGGTTATGAAGCGGGTGCAGTGATGGATCAACGAGATGGATCAGATAAGTCGTCCTCTTAAAAAATTATATTTTTATATATTTTAAATATTTTTTATGTTGTTTATTAACAACTTATTTTTATCTTCTTAAATTATTTTAAATTTATTTTTTCAAAATTTTATAAATTCAATTTCTAGACATAAATTCTGTTTCCCTATCTGAGCGGGTGTTTGCATGGGGGTGTTAGTACAATCTGCTTGCATGATTGAGTATAAAGCAAGTACTCTTAACCACCCATCACTTGCTTTTCCAAATCCATGATTCTAATTCATAACAATATCTCCATAATTGCACGAGCAGTTTTTTTTAAAACAATCACGGTATACGATCAAAATTTGATACTGTAGCGGTGAAGACGACCTTTATAATTTAATTTATTCTATTCGCAAATGTTAGAGTTCAAATTCTCGACCTTACTTAAGAGAATCTAGTACATCATCTCGCTATATCAACTGCTTGTTGGTTGCACGAACGCACAATTATTTATTAGTAGTAAATTTAAAATTGACAAGTATTATGATAAATTATATTTTTATTATATAAATGCATATTATTAATTGATTTTTAAAACTCTCGATTTGTTAGGTGTAATAATTATGTATATTATATTTTTAAGAATACAATCTAAATTCGAACTTGAAAGATTTTATTAGAGAGAAAATCATAATATTTTGAACATAAATCTTAAAATGAAAATAAAAAATAAAAAATTAATTCATACAATAATAATAAAAATAATTTATAATTATATTTTAAATACTAAAAATTAAATGGTGTCAACCCAAATTAATACACAATATACCCACTTTAATCAATTTTCTTATTGCTTTGCAATATATCTCTTTTATTTTTACAAAATAACAAATGTAGATTGAAATTAAAATTAAAATAGAGTAAATTACAATAGTAATCATTAATGTTTGTGTATGTTTATGTTTTCATCACTAAAGTTTTAAAAGTTACCTTATGATTACTAACATTATCGATTTATAACAAAATAATCCCATCGTCGGCTTCTGTTAAATTGATGAAATGAAACATATATAGATTAATATCTAATTTAATTCTTCAACTTTTACTAAAATATCAACTAGGTCCTTTCAACAAAATTTTTAGTTCATTCCCCCCACAAACCAACAATCATCTTCGTCAAAACTACGACGTCGTCATTTTCCAGCCAAAACCCTACCATCAAATGAAAGCTATCAGTAAAATATAGTGTCTGCACCAATTTCATGTATGAATACATGAACCATGAAACTAGCTACAATGAGAAGGAAGGGAGGGACTAAATTGAAGTCGAGTGGTACCTACCCATAAAAAAGAATGAAGAGTCCAAGAGTTTTCATTTAACGACGAGATTTTAAGTGAAACGACGTTATAACTCCGACGAAAATATTTATTAATTTGCGGGAAATGAAAAGAAAAAGTTTCAGTTAAAAAGAGAATAACGAATCAAAAAATTTATTTAACGATTTCATTGATGTTTTATCAATAATTTAAGAATTAAATTAAGTATCAATTTTTTTATTAATATATCACGTCATTAATTAAATGAGAATCATCTTGTTATTAACTAGTATTAGTGATTATGTCGTACATCAGTGACTATTAACATAACTGAGCCTTGAATATAATTATACGGGGGAGATCAATGATGGAAATAAGGTAGCTGACTGAAAAGAAAGCACACGACTAATTATTTTGCATTATTAAAGTGTAGTGCCGATTGTCGAATCATGTGATTTGCTAATTATCCCATCACAAGGACACATATGCGTGCATGGGACAAAAGGAATATGGACCTCTAACAACTGAATAGGGGGGAAAATCATATATGATAATGACAAATTGCTGTAATCGGTAACCCTTTATATAATTTCGTCCTTTGTCACAAGCACAATACTTTTTTTTTAATAGTGTTATTTTATATAATTATACAAATATGTCATGAATTGAGACACGATATTATAAAATCATAATTGTCTAATAAATGGAGTTGGAATAATATATCATGTAGAATATAGACCCTGCGAATTTATTGGTCAAATATTTCAGAAATTCGAGAGCCTAGCTAGTTTCCTAGTTTCTTAATTAAGGTTGGTTATAATATTTTTCCGAGTATTGAATTAGACCTTTACAAAAATGAGGCTCCTACTGATTTCAGGACCTTATCTTTTACACCTCCTTCTTCCATGGCAGCATAAACGCTTTTAACACTAACAGGTGATGCTTCAAAGGTCTTCAACTGCATATCTTCAGATCCCGGAATGGGTATCGGCGATGCTTCGTCTCCCGCATTTGCCTCGTCCAACGATTCCTTTTCCTTCTTTCTTCCCCACAAGAACGAGTACAAACCAACTATGATCATAATCGTGCCTACCACGCTGAAATCGCCAATCCATTGCAGTAATAATGTGAGTGCATGCATGTTAAAAAAGATGCGTATGCTGTATGCAGTATATGTGTATGTCTAGGGAATTTGGCTTTGCAGAAGAACATACATTCCGAGTCTCATCGGTTCTCCGAGTAACAGAGCTTCCGATACAGCAACGAATATTAGGGACAGTGGGTTGAACATCGGGGCATAAGTAGGGCCTCGCTTCGCAATCGCCCATGTCAGTAGGCAGAACGTTGCTGCCGTACTTAGTGCTCCCTGGACAACCAAAATCATAGATTTGAAGTATGAGTGTGTAACCAAAAACTTTATGAAATGTAATAGAGCCATTACTTTACCGAGTAAACTATGGTTACTAGTTGCAGGTTCCACTCTAATCTCCAAGCAGCCTCACGCCTGTCTAAACACAGGCCAATTGCTGCTGATTGGACCGACGCCATGATGCATGTTATCAGCGTTGCGCGGTATCTTGACGGAAACACTCGGAGCAGCTTCACCTGTTTGAAGTTGGTAAACTCTAATGAACAAAATTGAAGGAAAAATGGACTTAGTAGGGGTGACATTGTAACATGTAGCTGATACCAATTCATACCTGCAATATGTACCAAATGGCGTAACACAAGCAGCTACCAACAAGCATGAAAGTTCCTCGAGTCCAGTTCGAGCTTGAGTCCTCGATGGCAGCAGGTGAGTGAAAATGGCGGTGATCGTGAATGAGATCGAACGATTTTCCTTTATAAAGACTCGTCGTCAGTGCTCCCCCGACACATATAATTGCACCCATTGTCTTAATCTTCCCTGCTTTGCTGTCTAGTCCCAGCTTCTCCATTCTGCAAAACACACAATGTTGTACAGTTTCACACACTGTTCCTTCAATATGCAATAGCAAAGACCAGATTTTTTAAACGATTCATTACCGTAAAAGGATGGAGAAGACAAAGGTGACAATGGGAATTACGTTGAGGAAGTTGGTGGAATATGTTGCTGTTGTGTCTCGAAGACCATAATAAAACAGTCCCATCGCCATTGTTATCCTGCATGATCTTTGAGTTAAGCAGAAAGTTGTTTGTGTTGAACTTGAATTCGTTTTTGATTGGCTGAAGGGAAAGTTGGAAGCATTTTAAGCTTTTTAGGTCATCTTTACTATTGCTCGTATTCTTTATCGCTTTAATTCAATTACTAAAGTACATTTATGCAAAGTTCAAGATTTGTTCATGAATTTCATATCTTTAGGTTTCTTTTTCATCTTTCGGCAGATGATTAAAAACTAGCCACGTGGCTCATATTCGAATCTAGTCTTGAAGATGTTACAACAACAACAACAACGATACCAACCGAACTAAGATTATATAACACGCTTGCCTACGATATCGAATTCATCCTGATCCACAATCAATATTACGTATTCTTCACATCTTCGTCCATGTGATTCAGATAAGCATATGTTTTCTAATTTGTATGGCTTTGGCAAAGGGAAAAAGGAAAGGAATGCCTAATTTATGCTTTTCTGGAAAAAAAGGCGGATATGGAAGTTGATGGTGATCTCCTACCAGCCCTTTCCAGTCATCAGAAATCGATATGAAATGATGGGTTCCTGTGTTGGACCAAATCAACACAGATTCTCGAATTCTTACTTTATTTTTTGCTTATATAAAGCTCTGTAGCTAACAAGTTTTATCATGTAAAATGATTGTACAGTTTCTAAATCAATATGAGAAAGCAAAGCCTAACTACTATATTGACCTTAATTATACCATATTGAAAAAGGTAAGAGAGAGTTCCCAGATCATACGAAAAGATTAAACAGGGAATAAACCAGCAGCTTACCCGGTTAAGGCATTGATGAAGAGCCAGAACCATGTCGACCAGGCCAGCTTCTTTGAATCAGCTCTGCAACCATGGCGGACCGATAAGTGGAACAAGACAATAACATGTAACTCATGGAATATGATGGTGGAAATGAAGAACAAACCTTTCGAGGAAGAAAGCAAAAGGAGCGACGCAGAGAGCGGCGACCAAATGCCGGTAAGCCATGAATGAAAAGATGAAGGTTCCTTGATTCAGTATAACTTTAGAGAGCAGCTGTTGCCCGGTCGCGAAGACTTGCACGGCCAACATGCTGGCCACCATCTGGGACCAACCCAACCATCTCTTCATTGTTGCCACCATCGCCATCGCCGGTCCTCCTCCTACTGAAAAATTCTTGATATAAATAGCGACTGAAAGAGAGGGAAAACGACTAAAAGTCTAAAATTGAACTCAAAACAGAGAGCGGGGAACGGTTGTCAGTGTCACCAGTTTTTGTTTCTGATTCCCAATAAAAAGAAGAAGAGTCAAGAACAAGGCCCGACGCGGGTCTACAGGAGAGAAGAAATAAATGCAGAGAAAGAGTCTGAAACAGATGCCATGGCATATATATTACGAGTCAGAGAACTGTGTGGCAGTCATTGGCATATTTCATAAAAGACATCTTTAAGCGAAACAAGTAATCCACTCTTTACACAGTGAATTAACATTCTGGGGAAATAAACTCAGAAACTTTCTGTTAATAATGGCGTTTTCTTAGCTTTTTTGATTTACCTACATGTCCCCCATACGGCGAAGCCTACTCAGGTCCACCAAAAGCATTTATTGTCTATTAAACTGTAAATCGCTAGAAATTTGAAGATTCGGACAAAAAGAAAAACTAGATAGATGTATATAATGTCGTGAAAATGTAGTGCAGATAATGAAATCAATCAAATCTTTTTGGGGATGCAACATATGAACGAGTGGTGACCACATGGAAAGTTGAGAATGGAATTTTCCTGAGAAAATCAGTCGGATAGCTTGGAACAGCTGGTGTTGGAGCCTCTTTTCCTCAATTTGGAAATGATTCAGCAGCCAAAAAAGAGTACTAGAGCTGGCACCAAATCTGCCTTTTTGTTTTATTGTATTTTCATAGCCCAATGGCTCTTCGTCGCTGTACCAGTATGGTATTTACCATTGCTACACTTTTGAAACTAGCATGGAGATGCTCGTGCATTAGAAATGCGAGAAAAGCCATTGTTTTTTGGTTATACTAGAAAGGAAAACTATAACTTTATAAGCTGCAGTCAGTTAAATGACTCGAATTTAATCTATGATATGGTTAGACATAGTCGCGTATCGAGTTGAATTTTTAACTCACTCAAATTTAGTTTGAGTATAATATTTTTCACTCGTCACTTAATTCGACATGGTTTTAGAAAAGCTACACCTAATTCGAAATGCAACCTAATTTTTAAGACAAAATTACATATCCAACCTCATGAACGAATGTACTAGGCCTCCTCTGAAAAGAAATTGCATACCTATTATTTTGAAAATTTCTAAATTTAATTTAACGTCATTAAAGAGAGGATAAAAATAAGAAAATTTAAAAGTTTAATCCAACGCAAATATTTATAAACAAATATTCTTAATAGGTAAAATAGGATTTTATTATTGCTTTAAAGCCAATTTGAATTTTTTTCAATTACTAAAGTTCAAATCAATGAATACTTTGCCTCGGATAAAATAGGATTTTTATTATTATCTAGAAATTTAGAGCTCCAGTTCTATCGCAAGTGGATTTTGCAATAATATGATTTTATTAGGGTTATTATCCTTAAATTAATGCAATTAAAATATCTTGATTATTACATTTTATTAATAAATACTATATAAATATATTACAAAATCAATAATATCTTTTTAATTATTACAAAAATAACCATTCATATTGTATTTTTAACGTGTATAGACCTTTTTAATCATTTTAAATTTATTAAAGCCAAAATACACTACACGCAATAGTATAAATTGTTGGTGTATTTTAATAAAGGTTTAATGATTAAATTGACCTCTAAATTATACCAAAATTCTTATTTTTACTCTTAAAGTTGTTTTTATCAAAAGTGACCCGTTAAAACTTTTATTTCGTCATTATCTTGAGCCCTTAAAACTATACTCGAATTCTCATCTGGCACCTAAAACTTTTTGATAAAAAAATGTCCCTCAAAATTTTATTTCGTCATTACTTTTGTCTCTTTTATATAACATATTGAAAGATAGTGTAATCATTTCAATCAATTAAAGGATGACACATGAAATACCAAATTAAAAATAATTTATAGTTTAAGGATCATTTGAGAAAAAAACTTTAATATATTTTAAATTATTTTTTATGATTTTCTATAAGGTTTTTGAGGTTTTTTTTTTTTCATTAAATTTGAATAATCAAAAGACACTTAAGAACATGAATAAGTTATAATGAAAATTTTAATATCAATTATATTTAATGATTAAAATATGAATATCCTAAAAATAAATATTAAATCAAAATCAAAATAATATATGCACGACATTGCACCATTTTTCGTTTAGATATCACACACATATATAAATAAAGATTAAGATCCACTAACATAATATAAAATAATTTGATATTTTATTTCTTTTAATGTATATAGTTAAATAAATGCTTATTGTAGTTTGGGCTTAAGGGAAAGTGGAAGAAAGCCCGGCCCAATCAATGTTCACGGGACAAAGAACAGAGACTCGCCGGAAAATGGCATTGACTTCACATATCAGGTGAAAGGTTTTACTAGGGCTTTACATGTCTTGATTCGGGAACAATAAAACGAACGGAAACCGATCCGATTCCGGGGGAAAAACCAAATAAATAGCCCAACATTGGAATGGGTAAAATTTGGAGAGTGAATTCCCTGAACAACGCCGTCAGGACTCTTAGATATCTCCAACAAGCATCCTTCTCAACTACCGTTATCCGCCAGCATTCTTCTTCTTCCACTCCGCGTCCCTCTTCGCCGCCGTTAACCACCACCGTCCGCTTCCTTCGCACCGGTCGTGATCCTGGCATGAAGTATTTTAAAATTTCTATAATTATACTCTATTCTTGAAACCAAGAGATCACCTTTTTGTTCAATTCTTTTAGGTACGAGGCTGCACCTCCATTAAACTGGGGAATCCGCATCGTACCGTAGAAAAAAGCCTACGTGATAGAAAGGTTCGGGAAATACTTGAAAACGCTGCCGTCTGGAATACATTTCCTTATCCCATTCGTGGATCGAATTGCCCTCAAGGAAGAGGCTATTCCAATCCGGGACCAATCCGCTATTACCAAAGACAATGTCAGCATTCTCATTGATGGCGTTCTGTATGTCAAGGCATTCCACTTCCCACCCCTTCTTTGCCCTCTTGCTCAATCTTTGAAACCTTTTGGTCTATAATTTGCTTTGAAACTCTGCAGATTGTGAACCCCAAGCTGGCCTCTTATGGCGTTGAGAACCCAATCTATGCCGTCATTCAGCTCGCTCAAACTACCATGCGTAGCGAATTTGGTAAAATTACCCTCGACAAGACCTTCGAAGAGAGAGATACTCTCAACGAAAAGATTGTGGTTCGTTTTCTTTCTTTGATTTTTATTTCTTCTTGAAATTTAACTTACTAAATCAGACGAATCAAACCGAGAAAAGATGAATTGGGTTTATAAACAATTCTGGTTCTATATCAATAATGTGATAAGTAGGAAATGGCGAAGGCTCTCTATTTAATTTGTGACGGCATTTGAGAGGAGGGATTGTGAATAACTACTCTATTTTCCATTTGCTCAACTGTATATACAGATTTTCCCCTAGGACGACAAGATGTTCATAATTAACATCTGTGTCAAAGTTGTTGTGCCTGCTCTGATAAGTTTATGGCTGATGTGCTATATTTCTTTTAGTTAGTTTGTTCAATATCTCTGATAATTTTCCAATGACTAGTGATTATGATGGTGCAGAAAAAGTTGGACTGATACCTTATTAATCTTATACTTCCTTTGCATCATAGAAGTCTCAAAATCCCCACCCCCTCTTTAGGGGAAAGGATGCTGATTCTTTTGATATGACATGAGGGTTGCAGGAGTCCATCAATGTTGCTGCAAAAGACTGGGGCCTTCAATGTCTCCGTTATGAGATAAGTGAGTGTGGGTTGGCCAATATTTTCTTTCCGGAATTCTTTATGTTCACATACATCATTTATATTTCACTTCCCTTTCAACCCAGGGGATATATCTCCACCACGTGGAGTGAGGGCAGCTATGGAGATGCAAGCAGAAGCGGAGCGTAAAAGGAGAGCTCAAGTTCTTGAATCTGAAGGTAATGCAGCAGTAGTAGTTATTTTGCTTTTCAGCGTAAGGTAGTATATAATTGCACTATAACATCTTCTCATTTAATAGATGGTTTAGACAGAATGGTCTATTCATAAAAGTTAACTTTAACAGGAGAAAGACAGGCTGACATAAATATTGCTGACGGTAGGAAAAATGCTGTGATATTAGCATCTGAAGCTGCAAGAATGGATCAGATTAACCGAGCACAAGGTTAGTGATCATCAACTTGTAAGCACTCATAATGTTAAAAAATTGTGGGACTTTAAATGTATTGTGTAAACACTAAGTTTTTGTCTCATTTATTATTATTATTATTATTATTATTATTATTTAATAAATAATTTTATTATAAATCAGGCCAAATACAATAACCCGGAGCCCAAAAATTACAAAGGAAGCCCAACAGACCCGATCCAGATGCAGCTAGGGTTTCATCCCTATCTCCAGCCGCCATCAATCTTATCCGTTGGATCTGGAGAGATCCCACGGCCCAAAATGGATATGGCAGAAACCCTAGGGTGATAATTTCGGCGCCGCCTCACATTTCCAACTGCTCCGCCGCCTCCATTCAACCACTACGCCGTTATGTTCCCCAAACAGCCGCTGCCATGACATCCACGCCACCAAAGCCTCTAGAAGACTCAAGGAGAGTCGCATACATCGCAATCTGGTGACTCACCAAGGACCCTCCTATGATAGATCCACCGAGAAGAACCTCAACGAGCCCTATAAAAGGACTCGATTTACATGCAAAGAAAAAGAAAAAGAAAAAAGAGAGGAAAGAAGCAAGAGAACCAATTTACCACCAGCAGTAAAAATCGAAAAGAAAAGGAAGGAGAGAGCTTACCACGGTCATCGAAAAACCAAAATATCGAAGGTATAAATTTAGATCTAAAAAATTTTAGGAGTTTTTAGGAAAAACAGATGCCGGATTCGGCTTTAGGGTGTTTTTATCTACGATTTGGGGGTATTTTTATATTTTTCGACCATCGTGAATTGTGACCGGTGGATGGAATAGTGATCTACGGTGGTCAGAATAGTAACTAGTCGGTGACCGGCGGTGGCCAAGTTTAGAGAGAAGTGAGAGCTTCTCTCCCTTTAGAGAGAGAAGCAAAATGAAGAAATGAGGAATTTTAGGCTATCTAAAGTCTATTTATACCCTCCTCAAAACTACGTCGTTTTGGGGAGGGACTTCTGTGTAAT